CCCCAAATCGCAATGTGCCAGGCCATGCCCCCCAAATCGCATTGTGCCAGGCCATGCCCCCCAAATCGCATTGTGCCAGGCCATGCCCCCCAATCGCATCATGCCAGGCCATGCCCCCCGAACCGCATCATGCCAGGCCATGCACCCCAAATCGCGTTGTGCCAGGCGATGCCCCCCAAATCGCATTGTGCCAGGCCATGCCCCCCAATCGCATCATGCCAGGCCTGCCCCCCAAATCGCAATGTGCCAGGCCATGTCCCCCGAACCGCATCATGCCAGGCCATGTCCCCCAAATCCGCATCATGCCAGGCCATGCACCCCAAATCGCGTTGTGCAAGGCCATGCCCCCCAAACCGCATCATGCCAGGCCATGTCCCCCAAATCGCATCATGCCAGGCCATGCCCCCCAATCGCATTGTGCTAAGCAAAACCCCAAAACGCACATCGCCCGGCCACCCCAGGCCCCGACAGCATCCGCCCAGGTACCTCCCAGATCATTTTGCATGGGCCCATTACTGGAAGTTCAGTTGCGCAAGTCCTCGTGCTGCATTGATTCCATTTGACCGTCCAACCGAAACCGTTGGTCATTATTAACGTTGATCACTCGATCGTTTACAGAACTGCTGTATTCGCCACTTATTGATATTTTTATTATTAACCGTTATACGGCCGGTATGGCGTTTATTGTACGACACCATTCGTTCGGTCATTGCTCGTAGTTGGCGCTGCATGCAGCCAACAAGTTATCAAGCCAACAAGAATGGCGGCAACTGATGATGATGACCATGATTATAATGATGACGATGATGATGATCATGATGATCATGATGCCGATGATGCCGATGGCCTTTACAGCAGTTGATAGTTGCGGCTATATGCCGCCGCCGCCGCCGCCGCCGCCAGCCAACTGGCCAGCAGCGGCGGCGCCCGGCTGGGTGCAGCTGGGTGCGGAGGAATTGCACCCAGCAGTGCACCTGAAGGAAAAGGGACAAGGCGGGGGAAGG